AAATCCGAGAACCCGGATTCGAACCAGGGACCTAAAGATAACTTTGAAGCTACAGTCTTCCGCTCTACCAACTGAGCTATTCTCGGATTTCTGTGAGGCGAGCGAAATTATGACCTATTTTAATCAAAGGTGGCTTAGACATTGAGCCGCATTTCGATTGTGCCACGTGACATCCTTGTACCGATTCATAGAGGTACGAGATCTCCGACCGCCAAGCTCATATCGGACAATGGTAGTCCGTCGCCCTCCTAAGGCGAAGGTTCTAGGTTCGAGTCCTAGTATGAGCGGTTATATTTTGGCCCAATTTTTTTTGGCCATTTCTGCTACTTTGCAAGGCGCCGCAGCGGCGCCAGGTCGGATCTCACTATACACCTTTATTTTGTGGAGCCCAAAAGGGTTCTCATTCGTCGGCACGCGCCGATCCATGATCTACGGTGCGTGGCCGTCCGTTGGTATCAGGAACTAGAGAAAGGGCTAATCGAGTGACTCTACAAGTGGCAGGACGGAAGGCAACCCAGAAGCGATATGTAAACAAAGGAGAGATGTGGCGGTATGAAGCTTGCATTAGTCATGCCTCATTACATGTTCATGAGACTAGCTCAGTTCATGAGATTAGTTGAGGCGAGATGAAAACAGCTCATGAGACACTATCTCATTTAGTTTGAAATGAGCTGAGTTGAGACGGGTCAGTTCAGCTCATCGGAACACTACTGAGGAGCGTGAGAGCGAGGGATGTCGGTATAAACGTTGCTGTTACATGTTTCGCTTGTCATTAACCTGAGATGAGTTGACTTTCGCGATCCTATTAGCAACGGACAGTTACAACGTGCGCCTTTCGAATTAACCCCCCCCCCCAAAAAAAAGCCTAGTCCTGGCAAGGATACTGGTCAGACACTCCTCCTAGAGAGTCGCCACCGCAGCCGGAGGAACCAGAGCCGCCCGACGAGGTCATGGACGACCTTTCTCAGCTGTTTGAAAGGGTGGTACTGCCGCCACCCCT